CCTTAAAAACAAGAAAAAAATATAAAGGGGTACATGAGGTGAAACTTTGGGATAGAAAGGGTACACTTCTTTAAAAAAGGTTGAAAACCCTTGGCATAAGCTAATCAAATGCCCTTTTTAGTCAGATGTTCAGTCACATCATATCATGTTAAGGTCTCATTTTTTGTTGAGATGTTCCCAGGAATTCATCCATTTGCTCTGACTAGCTTTAAATCAACTTAATTTTGTTGAAGTGAAAGCTTTTTTTAAATTTTATTTATTTTATTGAACAAGAACATAATTGCATGCATTTTTCTAACTAGGAGGCAACTCACACATACCAAGTCTTCCAGATATTATGTCCATTTTATGCATAACTCCATCCCGATCTCCTATGCCTCCACCTTGAGCACCATACAGCCCAACAGCATGCACTTCATCTACGAAGGTGATTGCACCATGTTCATGAGCCACATCACACAGTTCTTCCAAAGGACAGACTGCGCCTAAGACAACAACAAAGCCCCCCTCAAAAAAACCTTAGAATCGCAAGCCCATCTGTGGCACCAAGTTTAAAACTGCAGCTTTCACATTTGCTTCCCTGGGAGTTGGAAGCAGGGCTCCTCCACCAGTGAGGCCGAGAGGAGTGGGGGACAGGGCTGGGGTCGGGCCAGGAGAGCTGTGCTACACCTTGGGGAGGGGGGCAAACCAGGTAGTGGAGAGCGGGCCAAGCTGGGCTGGGAGAGCTGTGCCCTACCTGGTGGGGGGAGGGGACGGTTGGGCCAGGCCAGGAGTGCCGCGCTGCACCTTTGTAGGCGGCAGCGCTCTGTGGGCCTTGGGGACTACAGCCCCCAAAAATTCATCTTAGCACCCCCACAACCACCCCTCATGCTGCCACTGCCTGCAGCAGCTCCCTGCAGGTCAGTGACACAAGTGTGTAGTCAGGGTGGGGAACAGGGAGAAGAGGCGGGCATGTGCCCCCCAGCCTGATGGGGTTCACCCAGCCTCCCCTACCAGCTCTAGCAGGGGAAGGGGCACGCCCACCCCCCACAACAAACTTACCAGCCAGACCCGGCTGCGCTGAGGATGAGGATGCGCATGCACACGGAGTTCTACCTTCCCCTACTACCCTTTTAAGTACCCCCAGTTGACAACCACTGCCCTGGACAAAGTGCCATGCCCCATGCTACAGAGGAAGGCAAACCGACATCTTTCTCTAGGCCAAGGTGACCTGAAAGAAACATTTCCTCCTAATCTCAAATTCGGTGACTTCGTGTTTTCAGCCTCCCGCTTCAGAGGCTGGTCTGTTGCGAACTACTTCCTCGACATCACCTCCCTTGTGGCAGTCGGCCTGCTCTGCCGCTCATGCCCACACCACCACCCGCGTCTTCCTCCTCAAGGCGCCTCATGACGCATGCGCCCAAGGGGAGGCGGCGGACTAGCGCGCATGCGCGCCAGCTGGAGCTGAGAAGCAGTTCGGTGTCTGGGCGGCTCCGCGGGTCGTGCGAGGACTGTGGCCTGGGGCTGCCGCTGTGCTGGAGCGGGTCGGGGTAAGGAGCCTGCGAGCTGCTTTGCTTTTCTCGCTGAGCGCGGGGCGGTCGTTCCCTCCGCCCGTCCCCGTCCCTTGGCCGAGGGGCGATGGAGCTGCGGGAGGGGCCCGGGGTAAGTCCCTGGGGCGGGGGCTGGGCAGTGGGGAGTCGGCGCGGGAGCAGGATGTGGCCGCCCGGCCGGTGTCCGTGCTCAGGCAGCGCTGTGCCCCGGGGGCAGGCGCAGAACGAGCCCGTGCAATGAGGGGGTCTTGGTCGTAGCTGCCGGGCATCCTGGTATTGTCTTCCTCCCCTTGGTCTGGTGCCAACGCAGCCTGACGTAGGGAGACGCCTGTTAAACCGTCAAGGCCAGGCCTCTTGCCCAATACTGGATTGTTTCCTGGTCATGTTTCCCAACCTCTTTTTGGTTGCAAAAGAACGGCAGAAACATAATAGTTGAACTTCAACTGGTGAAGCCATTCTGGACCTTTGTTCCAAGGATCACAAGGAAGTAGAGGTGGGAGGTGTTACTGCTGCAGCCTTCTTCCAGCTCTTGGCATTTTATGGTAGTGTTTTGCTTTGATTTCCTCTCTCTCCCCCAACCCCTTTGTACTGACTAAAAACCTGCAAGAAAGTCAGTCCACACACCCAGTGTTCACTTTGGCATTTTACAGCTAAGTTGCAGTGGACAGAAGCCTCCTTTTGCAGTCATCCTGACTTTTACTCGTGAAATTTGACTCAGTCCAGCAATTCCGTGAGTACGCTGTTTGAAACTGCTTCTTGCCACTTTTCTTGGGAAGGACAAGTCACATTGGATGTTTGTGTCCTTGAGACTTCTGCTTCAGTTGTTTCATTACTAAAGGGCTTAAAAGGCTAAAAGTTGTAGTTGTTTCTGCAATGTGATTTGTTCTCAAAGTTCTTACTCCTTCCTTGATCAAGAAACTCTGTGAAACATGAAAATCTCTTTTTGAATTCCTTTAAATGTTAACAAAACACTTTAAAATGCAGTCTCTTTGTTTGTGCTGTGATTTGTTTGTTTTGGAAGCTTACTGATAAATTGCATGTTTTCATAATGGTACATGATTTAGTTAATATGGCTGTTTAGTATGACAAGTACAGATAGTACTGCACTTGCTTGTGTTGCCTGTGCTATCCTGTAACTCAATTTTGCTGTATTTAACATTGAAGAAATCTGGAATGCAGTTTTATATGGAAAACAAATATTTAGCTCCTACACTGAATGCTTACCCCTTCTACATCTTGCTACAGGATTTTAAAAAAGAAAAACCCTTAAAATGGAAACTGTTGTTCGCCGCTGCCCATTTCTGTCAAGGGTATCACAGGCCTTTTTACAGAAAGCTGGAAAGTCACTGCTCTTTTATGCTCAAAACTGCCCTAAAATGATGGAGGTTGAGGCCAAGTCTGCTTCCCGTACTGTGAGTACTTCAGATGCTTGCTGTCGAGAAGTGAAGGAAATGATCCCAGCTAGTGAGAGTAAGTGTGTATAGAGTTGGGGGGGTAGGTTTTCCCTGTTGTTGTAGTAGTGGGGCATTGGCTTTGTTTCCCCTGCTTGTGTTCTTGTGGTTCTGGGTATTAACTTAAGTTTGAATTGGAAGTGGCAATTATAAGTATTCCTTGAGGCTGCTTGCAACACAGGGGTCTGGACTGAAAGGGCAAGACTTCATATGTACAAGGTGGAGGGAGACAAAGGTGCCTGCCCTGGATCTGCAGCATGAGAGGTTGCTTGGTTTCCAAAACTGCCTTATTCCAACTGGTTTTGTGAGAAAGGAAAGATGGACAGGGGAAGGCTTTCCCCCTTCCCCTGTGTATTTTTGTTTACAGATAATTAACTTGTATACTATCAAAACCAGAAATCATATGTTTTTGTTCAAAACTTTCCTGTTTCCCTACCCATGCCCTTCTACAGAGCACCAATCCATCATTGTTTAAAAAATAATTTAGTATTTTATTTTGAAACAAGTTACATCCAGTATTACTGAGGCTTCATGCACTTTTTTTATATAGTGTAAGAGACAGTGGTTTACAAACAATTTTCATTTGGATCATAGAATTGGAGAAGTAGGACTGGAAGAAACCTTGGTGTCATCTAGTCCAGCCCCATGCCTGTGGTAGGATCATCCCTGTCTAGACGATCCTATATAAATCCATTCTCTAATGTCTTGGCAAAACTGCAGAGTCGGCCCTAATACAGAACCCAAAATAAGTTCCAAATGTGCCACAGGCAAAGTGGGGGACCACAGCAGCCACCATCTTCCTGCTGCAAAGGTCATTAAAAATATGTTCAAGATATCCCAGAAAGAGGCCCACACTCTTTGCTACAAAGGAAGACAAAACTCCCTGCAGTGCATACCAGTCTGACCATGAGGTAAAATTCCTTCCTTGACCCTCAAATACAGCAGTTGGTCTGACCCAAAGAGGAAAGGGCTGGACCCTCTAGCTAGGAACCTCTGAGTGTAAGTCCCAGCAGGAGCATTGATGCACCCCAGTCAAAATTCTCAGCCTTGGCTACAGCCAACACCCAATGTTCTGAGACTTAAAAAAAACAACAAACAAACTTGGCATATGTAGCAGCGGTGTGGGGGAGAGTGGAAATTCCCTCCTGGCCCCATGTGGCAACCAGCAAAGCTGAGAAGCATGGGGAACTATGCATAAAAATATTAATAAATTCTGTGTTGTTTAGCAATAGTAAGATCTTGCTTTTTTGTTCTTTAAACAATCTTCTCCCCTTCTTTCTTCTCTTCCATCTGTTTCCCCGCCATCTTAAAGAGGCCAGAAATGCCACGGGTATGGCTCAGCAAAATATTAGTGGATCCCAGCTGCCCACTGGCCATCCACCTACTGTTAAGAGCCAGAATTCTGCCACCAAATGTCCTTTCCTGGTAGCTCAGATGAATCATGAGACTAGTAATGCCTTCTGCAAAGCCAGTCTAGAACTCCAGGAAGATGTGCAGGAAATTCAGGCAGAAAGAAAAGGTATGTTTTAAAATACAATGTATATAAAGCCATTATCAATATACAAGATTGTAATTTATTTTTAAATAGCCTGCTTTATTTCTGATTTGTCTTGTCAGCAAGCTAATTTAACTTCATTATTACCTTTAAAAGTAGATGAGAAAACAGTACAGGTCAGTAGCAGGATTCTATTGCAAAATGTAGAAGTGCATTGTTCACATGTTATCTAACTTACAGTATTAGAGTTCGCGATTAGTCTTTTGATATCTGTAGAAACTGCAACTGTGTTGTGCAACATTTTTTTTGCTGTGGGAAATGTCTTAGAAGCAGAACAAATGTTGGTCAAGTTACAGTCTTCTTGAGCAACTTTTCTTTTGGTAAAAGCATTGGTCATTTAGTATAATCTTTACTTGCATCATACATGCATGCACCTTTCCCGCCAAACTTAGCCCTCCAAAATTGGGGTGCAGGTCTTAAACAGGAAGCTGACTTTTTGCACTGAAGCTGAAACATGAATGACAGCTGTGATGTTTGCCCTGCTCTTGCTGCTGTCCCCAGAGGAAAGGGGCAAAGGTTACTGTTCGGGGTCAGAGCTGCAGTGTTACATACCTTACTTTTCACAACTGCTGCTGAATTGACATTGTAGGATTTGCCAGCGCTGTAGAGGATTTTACCTCTATGGTTTTAGACTGTTTGCCTTCTCAAAACAAGGTGCATGTATTATTTAGAGCAGGCAGTTATTTCAACTGGAAGGCCACTTAATGAGTTTTGGTAAGCTGTCGAGGGCCGCATGGGTAGCCCCACCCTTTGACAGTTGCCCTGCCCCATGGCTGCCATATTGGGACCAGAAATCCTGTTACCTAACCCCTGACCTTTGCCACCAGAAGTCCCTCACCTTGCCTCCTGGAAATACTCCTTTTGGGAGGGTAGCATTGCCAGAATCGGAGAAAAAACAAATCGTATACTAAAAGTCAAACACCTACTATAACATATTTTAATTTTATTTGTCATTAAAATTTTTTTGTCATGATGTGTGTTTGCTTACTGTATATAGAGGGGATTGCATAATACAGGGGTGGGCAATTACTTTGGGCGGAGGGCCACTTACTGAGTTTTGGCAAGCCATTGAGGGCCACATGACAGGCAGCCAGGGCAGATAAATATTAATTTTCTAAATTTTTTAGGGGCCCTGCGAGCCAGATAAAATTGCCTGGTGGGCCACATCTGGCCCGCAGGCTGCATTTTGCCCATCCCTGGCATAATAACTCTAAATTCTTACTCTTGTATATTGTGGGGGGGGGGTATGAGGGGAGGGTGTGGGTGTGTGAGGCTAGTGGGGTGTCAGGGCACCCCCTCACACTCCTCCACATGGTGTGCAGCCCCCACTGGCAGCAGAAGCAGGCAGGGACGTTCATGCCCAGCACAAGCACTAGCACCCAGCAGCACACAGCTCTGCAGTTGAGGGCAAGGAGTGCAACCTACCTGGCCTGCCTCTATCATGGGGGCTCCGCGCAGTGCACCTGCAGCTCCTGTGCTCATGCGGCACTGGGTGAAACCCTGTGCTGGAGCTGGCTGCCTTCCCCACCCCCTGCCGTATACGTAGAGCTCCCTCCACTCCTGGAGAAGCCCCAGGACCTGTGGGGAAGGCAGCCAGCTCCAGTGCAGGGCTTCACCTGGTGCTGTGCGACTGTGGTAGCTGCACCCACACCGCACAGAGCCCTTGTGATAAAGACAGGCCAGGCAGGCTGCACTCCTCGCAAACCGCACCCCCCCCCC